TCTGTTGGAAGACGGTCAAAAATGGAGGATAGATTAATAAAGATAATTTGGAAGACTGTCAGAATATATCTCTGGATCCGCCCCGTTCAGAACGGCCAGTTTGAGAGGCGCAATTGTATTTCTACAGTCATTTGAAGTTAGATCTAGTCCGTTCTTCACAGACTCTCACCGTTGTACAATGAACAATGAGGTCTCTCTTCATCTATTCTAGAAAGCTATGTTAACTATGTAAAACTATGTAAAAGTCGACGTTTAATTCTTTAGGACTGGTCTGTCTAGTCGCCATCGTCACTATCAAGAGACTGAATCAATTTGATTCTCTCTGTTCAGTCTCTTGAATCAATTAAAACAACCATGAAAATGATAACCATTCATAAGGTGCGCATGGCAGCAGGTCCCCAAAGTAAAAAATAATGGCAGTAATTTTGAGTCACTGTCATATTTTACTGGTAACATCTTACGCCTGGCCATGACATGATTCCTCTAAATTATGTACTAACCGGTGCCTTGCACTTGTTTTCCAGTGGAGACTGACTCGGCATTAAAATATAATTGGCATGGGGTATTATGCTTACGTGTCTGAAATATGGAATAACAAACAGACGGACTACTTCAAAATATTCCACATTCATATAATCTCTTTTTTATAGCGTCACAGATACAACGCAGCTGAAAATACGAAGGTACTAAAATGATTACTCGGCCCCGGTAGACCTACTTGAACGTTGGCCTAATGCCCGGGCATTACAACAGTCCACTTTTGTAATGACAAAGACAACTTCAAAAATAGTACTTTTTAAGAAAATAAAACAACAAAAAACTATGCGCAACATACAAGACCGAATACACCCTCAGCAGGCTAAGTGAGATAATTATTCAAGTGAAAAAAATTTAATAATATGAAGAAAAGATAGAAACGACAAGTTTGCTTAGGAACCTGATTATTCGCAAACGATTTTCTCTCTCTAACCGAAAAAAAATATAGAAACAAACATGCATTCCTTATATACAGCGTATATGTAAGTCTGTGCCCCTGATTTAAATCAGTAATCGTGACACAGTGGCGGATTTGGGGGGGGGGGGGGGGGCAGGGGGGTCCTGATCCACCCCCCTTCGATTTCTGAAAAAAATCACACCAATGGTCCCCTCTTGAAATTAGAATCTTGACTACCTGAATCATATAATAGTGCTAAACTGTACTAAAAGATACCGTTCGACCTCTAAGATGCCAAAAACTTTCGGGGCCCGCTGAACCCCACGCTGGGGCAGGGCAGGGTGGGGCGAGGTCAACTTCGCATTGATCAGTGACCTGTCATTCCTAAAAACTGGACCCCCTTCAAATAATCCTGGATCCGCCCCTGGTAACATGCGTACTTAACACGACTACGTTTACTGTCGAATATAATGGTATTTCATGACAACTGTATATGATCCGAAGACAGGTGTCTTATCTAACAATGCATTTGAAAAGGTTTGAAAACACAAACGTTACACCTGGTTATCTCTAGAAAAAACATTATTCTTATCCCAGAGACATTTAAAGGCTGTGATCTCGCGTGTTTAATCGTAGTTTTTTTGTATGTGGTATGGCGTGCTCCGACTCATCAGTTTCACAATTGGCACATGGCCTGACGAAATATATTGACAGATATTCGACAAATTATACAAAGTGCGCTAGGAATGGCAGTGGTCAAAGACCTCATAACCTGCAGTGAACAATAAAAAAAAAAAATAATTTCTGATCGTTATTTTTTTAAAATCTTAAACGACTGAAATATTTTGATTGATCTTTGTAGATAGAAATGCACTTTGTATGTAGAAATGCACTTCGCGGTGGAGGGGAATGACCAACGCGCCCCTACTCAAAGTGCCCCAAGTCTAAGGTAACTTCTTGGTCCACTGGTCCTTTAAGCCCCCTTTACACTTAACTGGACGGCGTCCTTTCTGCGTCCCGTAGTACGGACCCGTTTGAGAGTGAAAAAATAATACTTTACGTGCCGACAACTGGCCGATCATTGAGCATTCAATCTGCAACCGAAAGGATGCTTGTGCCTCCTTTTTAGGACCGCAGCGATGTCAGTTTCATGGACGCACAAAGAACGCAGAAAGGACGCCGACCAGCGTGAACGGGGTTTTAGTAAAAAGGCCTTTCAAATTCAGAGAAAAATTGATTGAAACTCGTATTGTATTGTTTGACTTGGAATAAAATATAGAACTTTTTGCTAATGAAAATCGGTAAAGCGGTTAAAATCTATAATTCAAAATACTTAAGGTAGTAAAACGCTTCTTCTTTCTTGCTGTTGAAAATCTTATTATCAAAGAGTCATTTATTTTCCGTGTGCATTCCAATTGTTGACACTGTTTAATGAGAATGACGTTTTAACGTCTAAATGCTTTAATGACTGTCAAAGCTAACTTTTCAAGTGAGTGTAAGTAATGGATACAATTTTTGTACACGGCCAACGTGTCTCTTTTTCCCTGTTCTACTGCCGAAAACAATTTGTACGAGCAATTTATTCCCACGCGTTTGATGACCCGCATTGAAGACCCTGCAATTTACATATATATCGTTCCAATTTTCTTTTCTTTTCTTTTTTTGATGAGAGAAAACCCAGCAACAAATAAAATAACAATTTTGTCAGACGGCCATAAAGGTCAGTTGGACTCACAGAATAAGTCAAAACAAAATGGTATTGTTGGGCACCACGTGACACCGTTTCAACGCGTTGAATACAGTCTCAGGCTTCATTTTTACTCAAGAAACGTTTACAATTCCATGTGAAATGGTAAATTTAAACAATTTCGAAGTAAAGTCTTCTTTGAGCGGCATCGACGCAAGCTAAGACCGTGTATTGCCCCACAGTTAGAAGAAAGGCAAATTTCTCGATAATTTATGCTAAAATTTAACGCGGAGTTATGGGAATGTATGGCAAAATAGTCAAGGTAAAATATACCAAGATAGTGAATTAGATTACACAGAGCTTATTTTGTCCTTGCATGTGCCTCCCATACATGTGACCCTCGATACAAAATAACGTTTTCACGCCCCTCTCCCCCAGCCCCAAAAAGAATTAAATGTGACATAATTTGTAAACACGTCATTTGAAGATACGTAACCGACATGGTTTCAAAGTGATTTTCACAATATAGTGCGACGAAACTCAATTTTTCAATGTAAGAAAAAGGTTGTTAAAGATGTGGTTTATTTAAAAAGGCTTCTACAATAACCTTTTCGTGGTGGTACTAGTAATTCTGGATGAGTTGCATGCTTCTCAGGGATGTGAAATAGTGCCAAGATTTGAAATAGATCCAAAAAAAGTCCGGCATTAAATTGTAAAGCCAGCGTGATAAGAAAAGTAGTCCTAGGGATACATGCAAAAGTCCAGTGTCCCATTTGATACGTACAGGTTGGTTTGCCTGACGTATCTAGGCCAGCATATTGCGTTATCAATAAAGAGTAATGGCAAAAGGACATCGCTTCTATAGTGGACTACCATTTATGTCACAGCTAAGAAAACTTACGCAGTCCGCTTATACCCCCTTTACACTGGACGGCGTCCTTTCAGCGTCCTTTCTGCGACCATGAAATTTGGCTTCGCTGTGGTCTTAATAAGGAGGCACGAGCATTGATTTTGTATCAGAATGAATGCTCAATGATCGGCCAGTTGTCGCCACGTAAAGTATTATAATTTTTTAACTCTCAAATGGGTCCGGACTGCTGGACGCAGAAAGGACGCCGTCCAGTGTAAAGGGGGCTTTAGTATTTATACACTATGTCATTTGCACAAGGGGCCGCCCACCAACCACGTAAGAGAACCCTAATTTAATGAGCCAAAGCAAGTAATGTGATGTCAGACGTAAAAACAGAGATCGTATATAAAAATAAGTTTTTTTAAAAAACGAATAATTGGATATTTATCTGCTTTGGATTTTTCAATTGCGTCCCATATAAAAGTACAATGACAACAACTCTTAACCAATCCTTTTTTTTTTTTTTTGAAGGTTGTACATATTTGATCAAGAGTTGCTCTCACGTTTGAATTATGGAGAAGAAACTGAGAAAAGGGGCGTGATGTTCTGCTGTTGCATTTAAGTCATGTTAGATTTATCAAGAAACCGCCTTTCTCTTTTCTGTAATCATTATGCATTTAGTGGGAGGTTGTCAATCTAAATGGCGCCATTCTAACATAACAGATCACCCCCTGATGACATGAGGTTTATATCTTATTATTCAAACAGGTTTTAACAATTCACGTGTTGACGCTTCGTGAAATAAGAAAAATCAGCCAAGAAATGTGTGAAACATATGTTCTATGACAATTTACCGGTCCATTCCAGGCAATTTTAAGAAACGCACAAAGGTACAAAGCATAAGAATGTATTCATTATAAATAGTTCACTTAACAAGAATAGAAGACAATCAGACTTTGGTTCAACAGTCCATAAGATATGACAGTATAACTGCTGGACCCCGGTAATCAATAAGAAAATGATTTTTTGTTTTGCCACTACACCACTCTAAATCCTTAGGAGATATTTGGAAAATTGGTGCAATTATAGGTTTGTGCAATGCCTCTGTACATGCAGTTCTTAAACAAATCTTTTCTTTCTCCCTCTTTTTTGTAAGGTTTGCTCTTTGTATTAGAGAAGCAGAGATTTTGAGAAACAACTATCAGTCAATTTTAAATAAAAACAAACATTTCAGTGTAGGTTTGATGGTATAGTATTTGAACATACTAGCCATTACATGTTCCATAAAAATCCAATTTGAAGTGACGTGAACATGTTTGCTATCAAAACCGCTGTATTGTGACATTTGCAATATAACAGTTAAATGGCATTGATAGAAAACCGATAAAAAGTGGGCTGTGGGAAAGCTGCCCTTTTAACTCGTTATCTATAATATATGACTAGACGCATTAATAATTTACGCCTCTGGCTATAAAAGCAGCCGTAGAACAACGGATCGCCACTCTCCACCAATACCCCAAACCGTAGCCATGACAGCAGGGCATGCGCGCATGCTGCTTGTTGCCATAGCACTATTCAGTGCACCATGGTCAAAGCATCCGGGCGGTTCCCAGGCTCGCTACGTTGACTCTAGCAGCTATGGCAGTTCGTCAAGCTATGGAGACACCCAAGACCCATATAGCAACGGAGACTCCAATGGCTATGGAGACACCCAAGACCCTTATGGCAGTGATGACAACGGAGACTCCAATGGTTATGGTGACACAGAAGACCCATATGGCAGTGATGGCTATGGAGACACCCAAGACCCATATAGCAGTAATGGCAACGGAGACTCCAATGGCTATGGAGACACAGAAGACCCCTATGGCAGTAATGGCTATGGAGACTCCCAAGACCCATATAGCAGTAATGACAACGGAGACTCAAATGGTTATGGTGACACAGAAGACCCATATGGCAATGATGGTTATGGAGACACCCAAGACCCATATAGCAGTAATGGCAATGGGGACTCAAATGGCTATGGAGATACCCAAGACCCCTATGGCAGTGATGGGTATGGAGACACCCAAGACCCCTATGGCAGTGATGGCTATGGAGACACCCAAGACCCATATGGCAGTGATGGCTATGGAGACACCCAAGACCCATATAGCAGTAATGGCAACGGAGACTCCAATGGCTATGGAGACACAGAAGACCCCTATGGCNAATGGCTATGGAAACACCAATGGTCCTTCCAGCAGGTACGGATATGGATATGAAGTTGTTGATCCATACATATATATGGGAAGGTAATTTATTCTAATCACATTGCAATTATAATGTTTTAGGTTTCAATCTACTTTATACATGTAGTTTGTAAGGCTTACGGGTATAAAACCTTTTTCCTCCCATCCTGGGTTTTTGTAAGCATTGCAAGGGACACTGAAATCTCTCCAATTGTCAAAACTTATTCCTGCTTATTATCAAATCTCTTTTAGGAACTCACTTACAGTGTACTCAAAATATATAAAAGTGACAAAAGAGTCCATTTTTATGAACAACAACATTAATAAAATACATACTTTAACGCGCCACAAGAAAAGGGCTGTCCGTGAAATAACCTTAAAGGGGAAATTGTTTGCTTGTAAGTTATCACTTTTTGAAGTGAAAAGCCCATTTGGAGTGATTTCAAAGGAAAGCCGGAAGGATATCATAATAGATGATCTTGTGATATCATTTGACAGTGTTTTTTTTCCAAGCTTTTTATTGCTTTTTAAATCATTTAGATACACTGTAGTTGTCCTGGTGCTAAAGAGAACCTTAAAACTGAAAACGGTATTTTCTCTCTCCCT